ACACACACAGACAACCCCGTGACAATATGCGTTTTGTACTGCTGTTACACAACACAAAACGCATAACCGATAGCGGTATGACTCCCTGACATAGGCCGGTATCAGTTTACTGTGGAAACAAATGCACGAATCGTAGAGGGATTGGTTGCTGTACTGGAAGAGTCGAATTCTCGACATACTAAACGGCAACAGCATTACTTTTCACTCACGGTCTGATCTAGGAATGCGGGAGGGGAAGGGCGGAGGAGCGATGGGTCTTTCGCCTGCTCAGCTCAGCGGTACAGGCACCAGTGCTGCAAAGTCCACTCTCGTTCATAAATAAAACTAAAGTAACTCTAATTAGCAGTATCATAACTCTTCCTAGTTTTTGCGTAATTACAGGGCGGAAGTGGGCTCTCCCCGCGCCCCTGTCCCCCCTCCTCCCCTCGCGCTTCCCCTCGCCCCAACCCTCTTCCTCCTCCTCAGGATTCTGTCCTGAATCCGTCTGTGTTTCCACTGTGCCTTGTCTGCTAAAGGAATTGCTATATATTTCATGTGGGCGTGTTTCTCCTTCTTTCCTGTGCAAGCACGGAAAGGGAAACATTGGGTTTGCCTCACAAGTTAGTCAGTTATATTTCGTAGAAATTGTTTGTTACTCAATTTTGGACTCTGTTCCTTTTTTTGACGGCCCTTTTCAAGCCTTCCCCTCTCTGACAGAAGTTGATGGTCTTAGCTGATTTTTATCAATTGTTTTTTACTTTTTACTCGATTTTTTATAAAGTATTGATTATAGCTTTCAGGCATTTATCACACTTGCAATGTCTTTTGTGCTTCAAGGATCCTCGGCATGTTTTGCTTGGTGGAAGGTGCGGAGGAAAGCGAAGCAAGTCTCAATGCCCGTCCTTGAATTTGGTAATTTCTTGAAAATGCTTGGTTTTTTTTTTTTCTTCTTTCTTCAATAACGTCGAGGATATATTAACGGCAAATAGTATCATCGTTTACCAAACATTATTTTTAGTGAAAGTTCAGAATTTTTGGTATTCCGTCAAGAATTTTTAAATAATTTGCAGGAACTTTTTTTGAGGATTTTAAACCGCAAAAAAATTCCTCATTAAAACCTGGTCATTTATCATGCTTTGTAGTATCTTTCGTACTTTAAGAGCCTGTCAACGAATTATCTTTTTTTTAGAAAATGCGGAAAAAGCCAGTAAAACCTTAGCTGTAGCTAACCATTAACTTGTTCATTGGGAGCACAAGTGTTTTTATGTCGGGGTGATTTTTTGAATAATTTTTGATTTTTTTTGTAAATGTTCTGAAATTTTGATTTTTGTTTTCCAGTAAAAACAAGCGCCGATCCGAGTTTGAGCGTTGTATGCCTGGAAGATTCAGCTTCCGTCCTGGGAACATTCATCGCTGCTTCGTCGATCTTTTTGAGTTGCCTCTGGAAAACAAGCGTTCCGGATTCTGTTGGCTCAATTTTGATCGGTACCCTGTTGGGCAGTGTTGCAGCATTCATTATTCGGCATAATGCAATGCATCTGGCTGGAAAATCTGTCCCACAATCGGTGATCAACGATATTGTGTCACGACTGAGGCACGATAGTATCATAAAGTTAGTTTTTACTTTTTTTTTTTTTGTTTTTGATGCATTAAAAAAAGAAAAAATTTGCGAAAAATTTTATCGATGTTGGAAAACTGTGGGGCATGAAGAACGCCTTAATTTTGATTTAGATGTTCAAAGTGAAGATGCAAATAAAATAACTTTGGCAAAAATGCAGGGAGGCTGAAATTTTAAAGGGATGTTCCTGGGCCACATACAGCTTAAAAATTTCAAATTGAGGCTCCAGGATTGCGTGCTTCTCGCGCACGGTCCTGCGAAATTTGTTGGCGGGAAAATTCGCTTATTCAGGGGCCAAAAAGGCTGGAGGGCAGAGATTTTGAGGGGATATTCACAGCCCATCGTGTACGTACAGTACATTTTTATTTGATTTTTCTGAAAAATGTTAGGAACACTTCAGATCTGATATATAGATTAGGAATGGTTGTTTTTGCTTTCCCCTTAGTTGATAAACCAAAAACCCTAAACAAGGATCGAGTTCGTCATCCTTGTTTAGGGTTTTTGGTTTATCAACTAAGTTTATCGATTATGTTTCAGTTTTTTCAGCTTTGGTTGCAAGTAGGATTTCAGTACAGAATGTAGGTTTTGCAATATCTGCCAAAGTTTTTTGTTTTTGTTTTTTTTTTTTTTTTCAGTAAAAATTCAACCTTTTCCCTTCGTTTTTTTCAATACGCTAAGATGAGCTACGCACGAAAATCGCAGCAGAAGTCAAAAGTTCAAGAAATCACTGCATTCCTTCTTTTTCATAAAAATAGGCCTCGGATTCGCTATGTTATTAAAGGTCAGTACACGACGTGAAAGCTGTGGGTCATGGTGTTGATCAGGTCCGTTTCAAGGCAGAAGTTGAGTATGACGGACGCGCAATCACCAATTTGTACCTTTCCGAATCTTGTCACATTCCTTCTCTCATCGAGGTAATTTTTTCGTTTTGTTGCTCTGTTTGGTTTTTCTAAAATTAGCCCATCTTCGCCAGATGGTGCCTAATTTTGTTCAGGCCTTGCCTGTGCCTGCTGACCAGCAGTTATATATTTTTGATAAAAGTTGGCAAAATTATGTAGCTAGAAGTTTGTTTCTCGCTTTTTCCGTCATTCAGTTTCCCTTAATCTACAGAAGAATGTGTATAAAAGAGTAGAAGACTGTACTGATGATTCCCGTTCCTGCCCAAATTTATGGCTCTGTCAGTGTTTGCAGCTAAGGGATGAAACGTAGACTTCTTGGCGATTTGTTCTTGGGCACATGCAATATTCAAATTTAATAACTTCTGGCTTAATATTGCATTTCTTCACTGTTTTCTTATACAATTTGCAAAAAGTAACATTCCTAAGCTTCTTAACGAGCCCGCTGTATTTATGTTTGATTTGTTCCATTTCAACAGAAATTTTGATTTTCTCTCGCCGGCTTGTTTTCTAAGGGCATTCATTCCATTGTATCTCTTCAATCGTTCATCACACTCAATCCAGCCGAATAATCCCTTGAGGGAAACGATGCCCAACCATTATTCTTCTCATTGAAATGAGATTTGATGCATGCTTATGCAAACAGAAGAAAAAAATTCCGCAAAAAAATCACTTGCGCAAACTTTTGAAGCGCTGAAGCGCATTTCTGAGTTTGCAGTACATTATACTACTAGTTATCATTTCTCTGTCATAAGAAGCTGTTTTTCCTCAAGGGGCTGATAGCAACGCGTTTCTCAGATCAGTCTTTGCAAAGAACCCTTGGTAAAAGGAATGATGGATTGGTATTAAAGAAAATAAGAACGTTGCTTGAGACGTAGACAAGTTGTTCTTGTTTCTGTCTTCGAAAAAAGAGAGGAATTATTGAAGGAGTGAGGGAGAGGAGGGGATTGAGGCGTAGGCGAAAGGGGAGGAGGCAATGGGCCTTTACCCCCACCCCTTTAACAGCGCAGGTACCAGTGCTACAAAAGTCCAAATCTAAAGTTAAAACTGAAGAAAATTCTCATCCGGACTCCCACCTCCCCCCTTCCCACCCGCACAGGAGCTCCACTCCCTTCCTTCCACTCGTCGCTCCCTCCTTCTTCCTCCTGTCCCTCTCCCTCCTCCCCCCTCCCCTCCCCCCGTCCCCGCGTCAGGAGGCCGTTCTCGCCTCGTCTATTGATCGAGGAAAGGCGGAGGAGAGGAAGACGAGGGAGTGGGGGACTAAATTATAAAAACGAAACATTTATTTTTGTGCGTTTTTATGCGTTTTTTGCAGCAATGCAATGCGAAAAACGCATATTGACGAGAGGTTGTCT